GGGAGGGTACCTAAGGCTCCGTGAAATCATTACATAAGACAATCTCTCCAGGTTCTTTCTAGCTCTAACATCCCCTAATTCCAGGGCTTGAAATTTAAAGAAGAAATTTTTATTTTTGTGGATTTACATCTGTGAAGAAGTTCCAAAGATGACATACGAAGCTAATGAAATGTGAGTCTAAATTCTTTGATAGTATCCTATGGGCAAACCCCTTCACTGCTGACTTATTACATAAAGTCCATGAAGACACAATAAAAAAGAAAGAAAAAGTGCATTAAAAGTCTGTAAGGTTAGTTAGGGTCCAGAATAGGCAGGTGAGAAGCATCGAGTTTTATAAACGTGTTGTCTCCAGCAAAATTCAAAATACTACACTGAGGTAATAAATGCATCCAGTCTGCAAAATAATTTAAATCAATCCAACTTCTTTTAGAAGAACAGACAGGTATTTGCTTAAACTCGCTGAGAAATGGTTACCTGATGGGGCTGCTAAAGGCTCCAAGGTAAAAGATAACCCACTCCTGTCTCATGGCTGTGACCCTAAAGTCTGCAGAGGTGAGGTCCCTGTGCAGCACCAAATAAGGACCTGGGCTCAGCAACTCTGAGTGTCTGGGTCCCACAAGCTCTAATTCACAGAGCTTCAGTGCAATGATATAAAAAACAGGTTCTAGAATCAAACAGCCTAGGTTTAATCCCAAGCTCCACCTCTTTCTGGCTGTGTGTAACCATGACATAATCATAAAACCTTTCCTAACAACAGTTTCCTAATCTGTAAGATGAAGAAAGTATGTTGTGTGAAATTACACGAGATATTTTATGTAAAGCTTTAGCATGATGTCTGGCATATTTCAAGGGCTGATTAACTGATTTTACTGTAATACATTATTACTGAGAAATGATGTTCAAAGCAAGGAGCAGAAGGAAAAATGGCGACTTCCTTAAGAGATGGTCTGATATCAGAAGGTATCACTTGTCCACTTTGCATAATAACAATACCCATTATGGCAGTTCTGAAATACAACCACAAATTCTTAGACGTTACTCTCATTGAGAGACTGGTATGTGCTGCCTGGGCTTCTGTGACCATTTCAACTGACAAAATATGTTATCAGAAATGACACTATGTGGCTTCTGAGGCCAGGTCAAGAAAAGTACTTCCATTCTGCCTTGCTTATGGGAATACTTATACTTAAAGCCTTTAGTTGCCATGTAAGCAGCTGACTTCCTAGAGCTGCCATGTTGTGAGGAAGCTCAAACTAGCCCAGGCAGAGACCACATGAGGCTGTGAGTCTAGAATAAAGGTAGGCTGGGTCACTACCCACTGTTCCAGCTCCAGCCACACACTAATGCCACCTGTAAGAGGGACCTCAAACCAGAACTACTCACGTAAGCCCTTCTCAAATCTCTGGCCCATAGAAACCATGAGAGCTAATAAAATAACTGGTGCTATTTTAAGTCATTAAGTGTTAGGTGATTTTTTTCAGGGAGCATTACAGAAGTAGACTATCTATAATGAGTATATGCGATACTCATATACAGTTAGCTTCCCCTGCCTCCACCTCATTTCATCCTCACAATTGCACTGGGAAGAACATGTTATTTTTTCATTTTATAATGATGAAATAGACTCCAAAAGGGTAACTGAATTGTCTAAGATCATGTGACTAATGAGTAGCAAATGAAAGTCTCCTGTTCAGCAATTCTGACACCAGTTCCAGTGACTGTCTTTCTTCTGTACAATAGCTAAGTCCCAGAATAGACCTGAACTGGAAAGGCAAGAATAAAATACACATATCCATACACACATGTGCGTGAGTGAAGATCAAAGGGGATCATTCTGCTCCAACTTCTGAGGCACACAGAGGCCAAGCCACCACTGAAACAGCACTGCCCAGACAACAGAAATATGCAAGAATAAGACAGGCAGCTACTTGAAAGTCACGTAATTAGCAAATGATAATAGGGCTAAAGGACTGATGAGGGCCTGTTGCTCCTATCACCAGATAGCTCAGCTGACAGCCTTGGCATCATGATAGAAGAGTTTTCAGAAACGCTTTCTGAAACCCAGAGAAGTTTCAGCAACACCCACAGATGGTGACAGCATCACTGATTACGTGGCCCTGCACCCTGACAGGATGTCAAGATGAGCTTCAGCACTTGGAACCAAAAAGTGCTGTGATGAAGAAGGGAGTTTCTATTTTGACTCCACTGACTGACATTTCTTGTCTGCCTCTGGCTTTTTCGCTAAAATCCTTCAAGACACCAAATGATGGAGACTGAGGAGGTATACTGCTCTCGGGTAGGAAGCCAGCACCTTGCAGAAAGTGATCTGAAATATGACTACAGCAGGCTAAGACTTTTAAGTGCATCTACAGAAGTTCTGAATAGGACCATGGGTTCATCACAGAAGAATTCGATCAAAAATAACTTCTTAAATCTAAGAAGTTAACCTGATCAGCAAAGACAAAGACAAAGAAAAACAAAATGTAATTCTCAGGACGAAAGACGAGAAAATAAGTTGTACTAAACGTCAACATGGCTATTCTGGCAGACACCCAGCGACCTGCAGGAGTTTTTTTTTTTTTTTTTTTTTTCCATGCTCTGTGGCAACTGAAACCCCAGCCAGACAGAACCATTCAATTCCCTGGAAAGGAGGCCGAAGCCAGGGAGCCAAGTGGTCTAGCTCAGCGGATTCCTCCAACCCCACACACGGATGCCAGCAAGCTAAGATCCACTGGCTTGAAATTCTCAGTGCCAGCACAGCACTCTGCAGTCTACCTAGGAGGATCCAGCTTGGTGGGGAAAGGGGCGTCCACCATACTGAGGCCTGAGTACGCGGTTTCCCCTCACAGTGCTAAGGGGAGAGAAACTCCTGGCTGGAGACCTAACAGCAGGAAGAGAAATCTCCCAGCAAGCATGACTCATTTTCTCTCATTTATGCCTTCTTTTCCCCTTTTCCATTTTTATTTTCCACCTCCACGATTCTTATTTGTTCTTTAGGTTCTAAGTCACAATAATGTAAATGCACTTGGGGAAAAAATGTGCTCACTTTGGGCCATCTCACCCGGTTAGCAGCGTTCCCATCCAAACTAACCCCTTCTACACTAACCCCATGGCTGTGATCTGCTAGCAGAGAACTTGAAATAAATCCAGTATATCTTCACCAAGGCAAGAATGGAAGATCCCTAAGTGAGGGGCCTCCCCAGACCAGCCTAGAACAAAGGAACCTGTTAACATGGCTCGGTGTCCGTTTTTGTACATAGAGATATTAACTAACACAAGCCACTGACAATGGTTGTCAACGACTGAAGGGCAGTGGGCCTGGCATACAGTCGCGGCGAATCAACGTGCAGCATTTATCACGTCCTGACATCTGTAATTATTTATCATCTCTCCCCTATCTCCTATGACAGAATGGAGGGAACTAGAGGGAAGGGGGTTCTGTCTTTTTGTTGCTGTTGTTCACTGCTGTTTCCCAATACACAAAACAGAGATACAAAACACGAGTGCAATAAATGTTTGCTGAATGGATAAGTGAATGAGTGACGGCGAAGCAGTGGAACCACGTCCTCGCCCAGGTTCTCTGGGTTTGGCTGAAGGACCAACTCACTAGGTCCTCCATTCTCTCCTGCTATGACGGACATGCGTTTCACACGGTTCCTTCTCACAGGGCACAGTCCTCCTTGGATATTCTCTGACAGACATTCTCTACTTCTCCAGCAATCCAGACTTCAACCCGGCTTGAGAAACCTGAGACATGCTCCTATCCTCAAAGGCTCTCCTTGGCCATTTCTTTAAAGTCTCCTCCGTCACCACTGAACTTCCAAAGAACTTAGTCTACACCACTGAAGCAGCCCCATAGTTTTTAGTGACATGGGATAGCCACATTTTTAGTTACAATGGATGGTATCACCAATATGACTAATAACCCCATTCAAACAAATGGCATACTACAGTTTGCAAAGCGTTCTCTCTTTATGAAGTCCGAAGTCTAACCATTCTTTATTTCAGAAAATGGAATAAAGGTCACATCTGTGTTTAACCAAAAATAATAAAAACTAACTATCATTTTGAAAATGTACTATGTGCAAGGTGCTAGTCAAGGCTTTATATGACCATCCTACTTACTGCTCACAAATACTCCATGAAGCACATCTAATTTTCTGAAGTTTACTGACGAGACACATGAAGTTCACAGAAGTTAAGGCAACTGGCTCAAGTGTGCTCAATGCATAAATTGCTAATGGTGGGATATGAATTTAGTCTTGTCTAGGTCTGAAAAGGCCTTCCTATGAATAGGCATGCTCCAATTCGTCTCTACCACGAGAACTGGAAATGAGTGTACGGGCGTTCACTGCACATAGAAGCATGCATGCAGGTATCTGAGGAAATAGAAGACAGCTAAGCGTCCCACAGCTCCAAAGAGCTGCTAAGAAAGCAAGCAGCCTCTAAAAGGGGAGAAATGATATTAAGCTATATAAGTTCAAATTAATGCTTTAAATAAGAAACCCAGTCCCAAGTTCAAATTCATGCTTTAAATAAGGAACCAGTCCCTGGTTCCGAATTGCAGAGGCCATTTATATGGTGAAATGATAATGAGGTCTAAGGGAACTGCCCAACTGGGCCACAACTCCAGGCGTACCATTCACACCATAGTCTAAGAAACAGGATGACAGCTAGGTGTAGAGACCTTGGGCATGTCAAAGAACCAAACAGACACAAGTGGAAAGTTCCATCTCTTAGCTCCTCTTAATATCTGTGGATTAAGCCTTCTTATATCCCTTTTTCAGATAGGAAAACTGAGGCTCAGAGAGGCTAAATGACTTGTCAGGCCATTCAGCAAAGTTAGTGAGCAAGCCAGACGTACACACCGGGCTAGAATCATCACAATGCCAGTTCCTGGCATCTGGCTGTCTTCCCAGAAGGCATCTGCAAGGGGTGAGGGCAATCGGGACTTTGGACAACGTCCCCCCCCCACCCCCATGATTCCAGGTGCCCTTTACCTCGCATTTCTCCACGACCGGCTGCTGCCCACACTCGGAGCTGTTGCCTGCCACGATGCCAGCCCGAAGGTTCTCGCTGTCTCCAGTGCCCTCCTCCATGGAGTAGGTCTTGGAGTGGTTGCCTCGTCGATGGGCAGGGGCTCGGCCCTGGGCCAGGCTGAGCTGCCTGCGGAGGGCGCGGTTCTCCTCCTCCACCTCGCGCATGCGCACCTCCAGGTTCTCACGCTCCCGCTGGCTGGAGGCCGTGTACCTGGGGCTGTGCGCCTGGGACTCCAGCGGTGACAGAGACACGGGCTTTCCATCTGGGGAGCGAGAGACCAGAGAAGCGTTAACCAGGATGAACCATGCCGCAAGCCCCTCCAAGTTTCCCAGACATCCATTACTACACGGCGAGGCTCCTTGCACAATCCCATGTTTAAGGGAAGCAGATGGAAAGTGAGTTACAAATAAACGCATCCAGATTGAACTGGGAACAAAGTTGAGAACAGAACAACTTATTATGGTGATAGAAACTAATATGCTTTTTAGAGATGGCAATCATAATAAAACCGTTTCTAATTAAATGTACTGTCTTCCTCTACTTGACATGTTTCTACGTAGGCATTCTTAACAATAAAGAATCATGGGCCACGTGCGGTGGCTCACGCCTGTAATCCCAGCACTTTGGGAGGCCGAGGTGGGCGGATCACGAGGTCAAGAGATCGAGACCATTCTCGCAGTGATGAAACCCCGTCTCTACTAAAAATACAAAAATTAACCGGGTGTGGTGGCACGCGCCTGTAGTCCCAGCTACTCGGGAGGCTGAGGCGGAAGAATCGCTTGAACCCAGGAGGCGGAGGTTGCAGTGAGCAGAGATTGTGCCACTGCACTCCAGCCTGGTGACAGAGCAAGACTCCGTCTCAAAAAAAAAAAAAAAAAAAAAAAAAAAGTATTATGGGCCGTGCGCAGTGGCTCACGCCTGTAATCCCATGAAGCAGGTATAATCTCTTGATCACAAGGTCAAGGGATTGAGACCATTGTGGCCAACATGGTGAAACCCCATCTCTACTAAAAATACGAAAATTAGCAGGGTGTGGTGGCATGGGCCTGTAGTCCCAGCTACTTGGGAGTCTGAGGCAGAAGAATCGCTTAAACCCAGGAGGCACAGGTTGCAGTGGGCTGAGACACACCGCTCCACTCCAGCCTGGTTACAGAGAGACTCTCTCTCAAAAAAAAAAAAAGAAAGAAAGAAAGAAAGAAAGAAAAGGATTATGAAAACAAACGGTAGGGGGGACTGGAGAGAAAGACAATGGAGGGAAGAAGGAGTATGAGGAAGTAGAGAAGAGCAAGAGAGGAAGAGAAGGAGTAAAGGAAAAAAGATGATAATAATGACTACGTTTATTAAGCTCTTCCTATGCAAACTCCTACACATGTTTCAAAATCCTGTTTTCAAAGCATCACCTCTCAGGGGAAACCATTCTCCATTTGCAGGCAAGGTATCTTTCCACATATTACTATAATGATTTGAATGTAGCACCACGAAAGCATGTATCTGCCATACTGTATTTGGTAAACAGTTTTACTAAATGTTTCCTATGAAGACTGGGAGTTCAAGGCAGGCAAAGGCAGGTCTTTCTTGTCTTTGTGGTAACGTGTCACAAAGTCTGAGAAATGCCAGAAGGGTGGATGCATGGTTCCATGCCAAGAATAAAATAATTAAAGGCAACAAAGAAGAAAGATATAGGAGCATGACCCGTCTCAAGGTTTTCACAGAAAAACAGTGACCATTAAAGTGAGTGCCAGCAACACTCTATGAACGTCACACAACCCTGCAATAAAAACTCAGGCACAGAGAGGATAAACAGGTCTCTCAATGTGAAACCAGCAGAATGGTGGGGTCAGAATTCGCAACCAGGTCTCTCTGATGGCTCAGCCTGTGCACTCTCCCTTTAAGTAAACATTCATTACAGGTTATTCAAAGAGCTAACATTTAAAAAACTTATTAGTATAAAAATCCCATCTCCCAAGAATACTTAGCGTATCACCTTGTATACAGTAGGTGCTCAGGGCATGCTTACTGTTGAGGAGTCCCAGTGACACAAGGCATACCCAAAGCTATCACTTATTTCTGTTTCTACTCTGCAGAAATCCTGGGCTCCAGCTATTTACAGCCACCTCAGGGGTTACCAAGCAAAAAAGCATTATCTCTAGAAAATCATCCTCTGTCAGCTGCCTGTCAAAAAAAAAACCGCTCTTCTTTTTCCACACTTCAAGTTTTTTCTTCCTGCTCAGACCCCACTGAGCTTCCAAACTGTCCGAGAGAGTCTCTGTGACTCACAAACTTGAGGATCAAAGAATGTGATGAATTACACCCTAGACATCTCACTTGTGCTGAGCCGGTCTCTGCCCAGGGCTTGTGATGGATCTTTGGACCTTAACAAATAGGACTCATTTTTTTTTCCCTCTTAATCACCTCAGGGTTAAACGCCTCAGCTCCTGGTCCTCTATCAATGCAACAAATATGCTTCACTGAAGTGCACTGCCTGGGACCACAGAATCAAAGGCCGAGGTAAAATAGGTAGGGGACGTGAAATCACAGGTTGATTTCATAGGGTTGCACTGTCACCGACTGGCCAGTTACAAGCTCCAACCCAAACTTTTGAAGACCTGTCTCCCTGTTTGGTACAAGTAAGAAGGAAAAAGAATAGGCAGCTATTCATAATTGTGTTTTCTCAACTACCATTGACCCTTTGAGCAGGAGTGGGTAAAGATGAACATCTGGCTTCCACAGGAATTACGCTCTCTTTACCGTCTACATGGATGTACACCATGCTAGGTAGCTCATGCTGATAATGCCTTAGGTTGCTATCAGCGCAAGGAAGTGGTAATAGTTAACCCCATTACTGATCCAGAGACTGAGACTCAAGTTTAAACTGTGTTCCTATTATGTTGCAGCTTGACTGTCAACAAGGTCTCCTGGATGTTGCACTCAGCTATGCTCCTGCATTTATGTGCTAAATTAAGAGGTAAAAGTCCGGGCGTGGTAGCTCACGCCTGTAATCCCAACACTTTGGGAGGCCAAGGCAGGCAGACCACGAGGTTAGGAGTACGAGACAATCCTGGCCAACACAGTGAAACCCTATCTCTACTAAAAATACAAAAAATTAGCCAGGTGTGATGGCACATGACTGTAATCCCAGCTACTAGGGAGACTGAGGTGGGAGAATCACTTCAACCTGGGAGGTGAAGGTTGCAGTGAGCTAAGATTGTGCCATTCTACTCCAGCCCACCCATCCCCACCAAAAAAGATAAAGCTCTGGAGACTGAGAGGGTCTCCTCCTCAGGAAAGGATTCTGGAGCATTGGGGCAGAAATGCAAGAAGGTCAGCAGGGTCCCAGGGGCTCTAGAAAGTTAACAAATGGGACCTGGGAGTTTGTTCTCTGGAGGGGTTACATCAATGCTCCGGGCTTCGTTTTTCTCTTCTGTGAAATGGGGACATAATGTAAACATTAAGAGTAATGGTAGGCTTAAGCAAAAATCTTGCTTAATACAAAATACAGAGGACTGTGCCCTTACTGGGAGGCGCTTGGCATCAGTGAGTTCTTGTGACCCTTTCTCAGCGAGGGAAAGTCATGCCATGTGTAAGATGAGTTGATGATGTAAAGAATAAAACACCGTATTTTAAGAACACAGGGTTGTTCTGTGTGTTGTGTATCGGAACGAGCAGTCAATAGACCTTGGCTTCCTTGGTTATATACTCTGAGATGAGGCGCTGCTAACCTTCTTGCCTTCATCCTTAGCCAGGTTCAAGGTTAATCCTTATAAACATGGAGCAAGAGGCAAGCAGGTTTCACCAAAGAGGCTTGGTCACATTCTCCAGCCTCTCTCTTGAAAGCCCCATATTTTAAACATTTATGTAAATTATAATTGCTTGATTATGGTCTTAAGAGAAATGCTATTTGACATCCTGTGTCCATTTCTGCACTGCTTTAGAACCCAAATGGTTTTAGTCAAACTTAACTCTCAAAGACTTGCAGGGGTTTTCCCACTATTAAAAGCCCTAGAGATTTGTCACCAATGAAGCCACACCATATAACTAATGTCAGATCTCAAAGAGAGGAACCAATGTTGAAGAAAGCAACATTCATGCTGTGCCCAACTCCTGGCATGGAAGAAGTGCTCAGTTAATGGCAGAACTGCCCTTTCTGGTTTGTTCCGCTGTCTTGGGCCAGCCCCTTCCTTTTCCTCAGCCAGTTTCGCCTTCTGAAAGGTGGGGCCCTGGAGATGTGCTCCCAGTCCCCTCTCAGCTCTAACTCTTCGCAGCTGTAGAGTCCAGGTGATCCCAACACCACATGATCAGAAGTGAATACAAGTGGGTCCGGCTGCCTTGCCAGATTCACAGCTCATTCTAGTTTTATTTGTCCTGACTCTGGCTTTTATTCCTGGACTATTCCTTTTTCTGGCTCCTGACCTTTTTGCTCAGGCTTCTCCTAACTCTCTGAGAGTAAGGGGAGGACAGAGGGTCTGCAATTCTCTGCTACATTTTACACGCACTGGTCCGTCGTAGGAACACCCCTCAAGCTTTGTGTACAGGCCGTAAAGCCCACCACACAGGGTTATGTAAACGACTGTGCCCACATTGGTATTTCTCAGACTCTTAGTGGTGAAGAACCAGTTTTTCTCCCTCCCCCAATCCATCCTGGACACAAATTTGCTCCTAACACACAAAGGTAAAATAGAGCTTGGCCCACGTTAACTCATCACTGGAATTAAACAAATTGTTCTATACTATGTTAATCAAGACTACTGATCACACATTTGATGCCGGCGACAAAGTCCACTTGCTCTAGATGTTTCTAAATGCCTAGTCTCTAGTTCCATAGGTATCTTGCTGCAGGCCAGCAACAGTTTAAGGATTGTAATGGTTAGTTTTATGCGTCAACTCGGCTGGGCCATGTGGTACCCAGATATGTGGTCAAATGTCATTTTGGATGTTCTTTTGAAAGGTGTTTTTGGATGAGATTAACATTTAGATGGTTAGACTGAGTAAAGCAGGTATCCTCTCCTGGTGTGGGTTGGCTACCTCCCATTAGCTGAAGGCATGAATAGATCAAAAATGCTGACCATCCCCCAAATACAAGAGAACTCATCTTTGCCTGACAGTCTTTGAATTGGAACATCATCTTTTTCTTATCTTCCAACTCAAACTGAATCACCAGATCTTCCTGGGTCGCAAGCCTGCTGGAATTTGGAATGGAACACCACCATGAGATCTCCTGGTTCTCAGGCTTTTCGACTTAGGCCAGACCTACACATCGGCTCT